TTTTCAGCAGGCAAGATTATAATGGTATAACTACTTTTACAGAATTAACTTAATTACTGAATTTCACAGAAAATATTTGTTTATTTTTTATAAAGAACTGTATTTCTTAAGTCAATTATTAAAGTATTACATTGATTTATTCATTTTAAGTATTTGGGATTTTAAGAGCAAGTGGAAAATGTGCTGAGTGTTTCATTTCATCCAAGTGAAATTAGCAAAGCAGTTAGACTGAATTTACATTCGTTTTAAACGCGGAGCCAGGCGCGAGTCGACACAGGTTGCGCGCGTGCGTCAAGCCTCATCCATACTGCCAGATGCGCTCGTGGAGACTTGCGGTGCGGAGCTGGGTGCGAGTATAAACGAGCATTACGAGACAGACTGCGTGAGTGCGGCAAGCGTGAACGGCTCGTCCGTGACGCGGGATTCGCGCCGCATGGGGCAGAGAGGAGCGAGTATGAGAAGCATTCACAGACACAGGTTGTGTGTGCGCTCTTCTGAATTGGGAATAGCCAACATGCATTATAAACTTATTTCAAATTAATCTGTTGGGGAGATAAAATGTGTAAGATAATGTTCACGTACTAACAAAAACATCTAAGAATGTATCTTTTATTCACCAGTACTGAAAACAGAACCGATAAGGGAGCTTTTGATATGCGCTGTGACGCAGCTCTTGCAAATTACCTTTTTTTTGTTTGTTGTCTGTCATTTCGAAGCTTAAGTTGCATACGGTTTTCTTTAGTTTTAATTTGCCTAACTATCGATCTGACCCAGTAGACGCCATAACCCCACTCTGTCTCTCTCCTGTCCCGCGTTCCGTTTTTTTATTTTTGTTTAATGGTGGGTGTTTAAGCAGTTGGCTAGAGCAGTGCTGATTGGGGAGAACGGAGGTGCGCTCACTCTATTGGTTAGTAAGACTGCAACAATCGCAACGTCTCAAATCACGATTTCGATTCGATTTCGATGAATCGCACAGCCCTAGTGCGAAAGGCACTATTAAATGTTGTAAAAAAAAAAAAAAGAAACGAGAACAAAGGAGATTTACAGTCCATGACCAGGGTTTGACACAAAACAATAAATGGGTTGGGGTTAGGGATATGCCGGTATCAAATTTTCATGTTGCGATTAATTGCTAATGCTTTTATCACGGTATGCGGTATTATCACGATATTGAAATTTAGTTTAAAAAAAACAGAGAGTGAAAGTGCGCTTTCATCCAGAGCGTCTCTCACATGTTCCGCCATGTGCTTCACGCCCACCCTTGTTTACATCAGAGTGCGCAGGCGTCTTTCACGCAGCATACAGCGTGTTGCGCATTTTGACCAGTTGATGGGAAAAGTATTCTTAAAATGCATTCAAAATTCTGAATAATTTGTAATATATAATTAATTATTCACGGTATTTAGAAGTGCCCACGATAACAATATCGTGCATAGTCATTACCGTGATATATCGCATTACTGAATACTGGCACAAGTCTAGTTGGGGTCACTTAAAAAAAAAAAATTACAATCATCTCACCTTAATGTTCCAGTGAGTTTATTTTTACAATTTATAGAATTAGGTGTTGATTCATATTTATATTGTTAGGAAGACACTTTCATTTTTAATGTAATAATTTTGTTGCGCTGCAGCTTACACAGCGCAAGGAAACTTGATTTCAAACTCTGAACTCGGTTAGTAATTCAATAGGAACAAATAAAAAATTACAAGCAATAGCACAAATAAAATAGAATAAAGATCCAAATTAAATAAACAGTGCTTTAAGTTTTTCAGGTAGGTCTATCAGTAGTATTCAGAACTTGACTGAAGTCAAAGTTCAAATGTAAAATAACACTTTCACAGTATAAATAAATATAGATGAATCCTAACAATTAAAGTTACAAAAGTTATTCAGTCAAGAGCAGTGAGTGATTCCCTCTGTCTTTTGTTGCTTGATTACCATTGACACAGATGGCTGTAGGTTTATTAAACTGCTGCACCTTTAAGACTTCATGCAAAGACCTAATATACTGTTACACATGCGTTTCTTGCAACTACAGTGGTGTGAAAAAGTGTTGGCCCCCTTCCTGATTTCTTGAAGAAATCAGGAAGGGAGCCAACACTTTTTCACACCACTGTATGTTAACACGAATACTCGCCAAGTTGGCATTTCAACAATTTTGTGTTTATCAGAATGTTTATATGCAATAAGCCACGAATAAAACTCAATTCAGTATTTGTGCACTGTTTGAGAGGTGGCTTTATCGGAGTGCGCTTTGGGTGTGTGCGTACAGTAAACCGTCTCTCAGAGAGTACTGAACATAGTACTTTTTTGCTGCTTATTGTGCTTGGTTTAAAATCGCTAGAACGTTTATAATGGCAAGAATTAAAAACACATGCAAATGAGATATTCCATCAACTGTCCTGAGTGTCAAACACTGAAATGTTTGCAGGAATTTCCGGCATTATATGCACAGCACCTGCAGGAACGAGTAAAATATGTGCAATACCCACAAACCCATGTTGAAATTCAAGCCCTGGGCTCAGTTTGATTATCAAATTACAAAGGCTGTGATTTAAATAAATATCTGCACTGTGTGTTTTAGAGTGAAGCGGCACTGTGTTCACTTACATGTGAGCAGCTCATGATAACAGTGTTTTCAGCATCTCGATTCACAGTAAATGTGATGCCACACAAACATTTGCTCTGTGTTTGAGTTACTTTAATGTGCAATTTGGCACGAAACACGCCAACCATCTTTATAAACCTGTCATCAATCAACAAAAGTTTTCTGTCAAAATACAATTTTGATGGTTTATTATTTAAAAGAAATGAAGACAATAAAGGGACAGTTCACCTAACCAAGAAAATGGTGTCATTTTTTTTATTTACGTTGTTCCAAACCTGACAGTTGACTGTAGCCGCTGACTTCCATAGTATTTTTTTTTATCCCATACTATGGAAGTCAATGGCAACTGTCAACTGTTTGGTTGCCAACATTCCTCAAAATACCTTTTTTGTGTTCAGCAGAAGAAAGAAACTCACAGTGGTTTGGAATGACATGAGGGCGAGTAAATGATGACAATTTCATTTTTGGTTGGATTATCCCTTTAATATAGACATATTATTTTGTAACCTCACAGTTATAATTATGGGTGTAACTGTACATGTATTCATCCCGAACGTCATGGTACGGACTTCAGGGTTCGGTTCATGCACTCAGATGACGAATAGTCAGTCACAGGTGATCAATCCAGAAGGAAATGCACCGCTAACGGTCACAACAGGAAACAGCAGAAGAACAGACGATCTATGCACCAACCCAAAACAAGAATGATGAATTCAGATGGGACCTAAGGGCTTGAAGAACTGATTGCTTGTTTTAAATCAGCAGTGTGGGAAAGTTTTGGGTTCTAGAGATGCACCAGTTGACCAGCCAAAAATTGGAAAAATTTGTTATTTTAGTTTTATTTTGGCCAATCTCTATTCCTGAATTGTATACAAACTGCATTGTAATAATTTCCCAAAATGTAATTTGTGTGGAAATATAATAAGTCTGCAAACAGGATGCTAACAGAAGCTATAGATGCTTAAGACAGATGCAGATTGAGAAAATACCATACTAGGCAGATCAAGCTCACTGTTTGCGATGCGCAAACTATTGGAGGAAAAATATAAATACTGAATTGGGGGTGGTGGGTTATATGAATGTATCTCTGGGGAAACTTAGCATTTTCAGAAAAGTTTCGTTGGCATTTTTTCGACTTACCTGTGTCTAATGCATATTAAAGTACGGTTTATAATTGCAGCGATGCTTTGTTTACAGCGGTAACCAAGAAAATGCTATATCACTGCTGTTCCATAAGCGCCTCCTGCTGTCAAGACAGCAAATTTGCCTTTTCATTCAGCCCATGTGCGGTTTTTGTTTTGTGCAGGTGTCTTATTTAGCATTATTACACAAATCAAAAGTCAAACCATTCTGTTTTTGCTTTAAATCTTGAAATTACAAAATTATCTAATTCAAACCAAAAACAACTGCTCATGCTACATGTGTGTAGCACTACTGTCTATTCAAAATAAACGGAAAAAATTGCATTGGGGATTTGTTGCTTGCTTTTTCCTGTTGTACCGAACTCGTATCGAACCGTGATCCTAAAACATCGTATCGAACCGTAACTTCTGTGTACTGTTACACCCCTAGTTATAATGTAAAAAAGATATTATTTTTCTTAAATATTGCCTTTTTATTTTACAATTAAATATTAGAATAGTAATATTTTAATTTTAATTTTGTTATTTAGTAAATGAAAACATTCTAAATGTTTTTATTTAATAATATTTATACTTATAGAGTAATAAGAAATAAGAATTATTATTATTATTATTAAACAGCCATATTGATATATAATCCCTACATTTTGTACAGATTGTGCAGCCCCACAAACAAGCACAGCAAAACCTAGAAATTTTAAATCACAAGTTTTATCAGAGTTTAAGTCATGCATTAAATGATAGTAATGCATCTGGGTGTAGATGGTTGTGCACAGATGATACAGTGTTAGTGCAACGGATGAAGGATGTGTGTTAACTAACGGGTTAACTAACCCGGTTGACCAGGGTGAGGACTCTTGAGTCGATGGTGTGTGGGTGTGTGCGGTGGGTGTTCGCGGGCTGGTTAACAGGACACCGGCGGGGACACTGGCCCTCTGAGGGGTGCCGATAACCTGCAGGAACAGACACAGGCCCATTAACATCATCACTGTGATTCTCAGTATAAACAGTCAGTGCAAATGAAAGTACAGGAGAGTGAATTCTGTGATTCTGACACTCTTTAGTCTGTAGTGGTCATTTGTCCAGCATTTCGACCCACGAGCACATCTACCTGTGTGTAATAGGATGACGAGGAATGTAATCCTGCTGACTCCAGCGTTCTGTGATCCTCTTACACAGACTTTCCCGGGTCACCTCACACAATGTTAATGGAGGGCTTTATCGCCATGGAGACAGTGGGACGGGCCAGAGAGGGGTCTGTGTGTCATGTGACTCATGCTTGAGTACTGGATTCTTTAAACATGGAGTATTTAATAAAAAGCATGACTGTAAGCGTCTTACCACATGTGGCAGCACGTTAACGCCTGCAGCAGTGAGTGTTTTGGGCAGAATCTGTTTGATCGCAGCGACTGATGCTGGATGAATGGTCAGAAAGGACAGAACACCTGCAGCTGCATACAATCACACACACATCTTATTAATATTCATGATATGAATCCTGATAAACATGTGCAGTGCGTTTAATCACAGCGACCCCTGCAGGTCAGGAAGTCATGGTCACCACATGAGCACAACAAGGACTAGTTAAGCTGTGGCCTGCTGTCAGTTACTGATGAAAATTAGTATTTGAATTAGGGCTGGGTGATATAGCAAAAAAATTTATCGTGATATGTTTCATATCATTCGGTATCGATAATTATTGAAAACTTTTTATAACCTTTCTTAAAGAGCAGTAGAATTTTTTTTTAAATTTAAGCTCTGTATTTTTAATTTACCCAATTTATTAAGACAAACAACAACTTTAGTTTTAACAAACAAAATAAAAAATGTAAACAAATATCTCCTTTCTTACATTTTATATGCAGAAGTGTTAAAGGGGTCCTATTATACTTTTTCAACTTTAGTTAGTCTGTAATGTTGCTGTTTAAGCATAAAAAAAGATCTGCAAAGTTACAAAGCTCAAAGTCCACTTCAAAAGGAGATATTTTAACAGAAATCACTTTTCAAAAACTACAACGAACGACTCGTTTGGACTACAACGCATATTTTCCGGGATTTGTGATATCACAAATATCGACGAATGGGACGAGACCTGGTTGAGCTGCACTAGAGAAGGCAACGAGTGATATCACTAGGCATGGGCCGATTACCGGTTTCAAGATATACCGCGATTTGAAAATTTTGCGGTTTCAAAACCGCAAATATTTTCCGTTATACCGTTCCTGCGGTATGTGCTGTTTTTCATGTCTCCTCAAAGACTGAAAGTGTAGGAATCCCTCAGGTTGAGTGCAGTGTAGAGAGTAACACGACCCTCCTCCTCCTGTTGGTGTGAGCGAGCGGTCAGTCACGTGTGTGTAGGATGGCCAAACCAAGGAGCTTCCCCTGGAACTTACGCGATTGGCAACCGGACGTTTTTTTTTCTTACAATACAAACTGCGTTGCAATGCAATCGTTTTCCAAAATGTCATTTATGTGAAAATATGAAGACAGTAAACTCCCGTTAACACAGGCCAGAGACGTTGAAGACGGACGCAAAGAGAAAAATACTGTTGACGCTAGTGGAGCGCTTCTTAGAGTGGGCTCAACTCACTGGGTTTTTTTTTTTTACCCAGTCATTTAAAAATAACACATTTTATTTTTGCTTAAGGTTATCATACCGTCAAAATCTCATACCGGCCCATGCCTAGTTATCACTATGTCGTAGACACGATAGCTTTCCCAAGGCAGACGAACTTCGAGTGATTACAATCATCCAGGTTTAAATCGCGCTCAAATTGATTTGATTTTGACGCAATATTTACACTGAAGATCGCAGCTATGGTAAGGGGCATGACATTTCCCGACCAGGCGACAATCACAACACACATTGGCCCTGCTAACCAATCACAGCACATTTCGTATTTCAGAAGGCGGGCCTTCATTTGATACAGGAACTATTCGAGCCGTTCATGC